TCTCCTACTTGACTTAAGGCTGAAAGAGTTCCGCTGAACGATGATGGGAACATTAAAGCGCGTCGTAATATCTGCTTTGAAGAGCCAGCCTTGGCCTGCACGCTATTAGATTACATTATCTCCGTGCGTAGAAAGGGGGGAACATTGACCTTGTCATCGAGATTGCCCTGAGCATTTACTGAATCGTATTAAATAATCTGTCGACGGGCTGTAAACAGAAAAGCTGAAATTGAAACTAATAAATACTCAGTTACCTCTAATCATTAACCGAGTTTGTATAATGTAGTTACTCTGTGTGTTGCTGCTAGCATACATAACATCTGACGTGGGAACGTTACTCGTGAATGGAGCTACGGAGCTGCTAGAAAGACAGTGGAACCCGGTGCATTCCTCCGTCTGGATGTGGAGCACTTTTGCTAAATGTTTAGACAAAGTGCTCGTGTTACGCCCTTACATGATAAACTCTTATTGCACTTTGGCAACGAGCATTCTCCACATCGAAGAGGGTGAAGTTTAACCACGCCTCGGAGCGCGTTCTCTCCGCCACCTCCGCAGTGTGCTCCGCTGCATGTAGCAGCTGTGTGTGTAAACTGCCCCGCCCCCTCGTGATGGGGAAGAGAGATCTCATCTGATCGAAAATACATCATAGGCGTATTTGTTTGTCCTTTGCATATTAGAACGAGTTGTGACACTAGACTGCGATATAATGTTTTTGTAGCAATAAACATGACATATATTTATAAATGTCTCCGGTACTGATAAAAAGACCAATAACGTTGGAGCTTACGCACGTAAACACACTGCTGACGTCACAAAATCGACGACTGAATTAGTTGCAACTCATTTGGTAATCGATTTGATCGATTAGTCGATTAGTTGTTGCACCATTACGGCCCGTCTACACTACAGGCGTCAAAAAAAGCTTTCAACGCTTCGCCCATTCATTTGAATGGGGTGACGTAGGATATTTTCAAACTTCGCCAAACTGCATTGTGGGTAGCATGGCAAGGCGTTGCAAGCATCGCGAGCGTCTATCGGCGTCAAAAGTTGAACAATGTTCAACTTTTGAGGCTCGATGCTTGCTCGAAGCTGGCATCAGCCAATGAAACCCCGTTTATGCAAATCTGCCAGTACAAGCTAGCCAATCAAACCGCGTGTATGCTGGGAGAGACTACGCAGGTCATTTCCTCATATTCAAAAAAATGGAGGGAAAATTCATTATAGCGGTAGTGAATCACCCGGTGCTGTATGATCAGTCTCTGTTCATCTACCGGGATACAAACCGGAGGAGCGAGGCATGGAGGGAGGAGGCAGAGACAGTGGGTGAAACTGGTAGGTTTTCGCCTGTTTGGGGATTTGATATCCAGTTTACTTCGTTTTAACATTGCTATTGCTTTGTATGTCGGGGGCGGGAGATTCATGTGATTGGTTGTTGGTCGCGTTGCTCGCAAAAAATCGCCAAGCCTCAGACACGCCCAGCTTCAAGCTTTTTCGACGCCTGTAGTGTAGACGGGCCGTTAGTCGCTGCAACTCTGACTACTTTTAAATCCAGGCTGAAGACTTTTATTTTGTCGCTGCTTTTAATTGAACTATTCATATCTTAGACTGCACTGTCACTTTGATCCATGTACTTTTTCTTTTAATGTTTATTTTATTAGCTTCCTTTTAAGTGACTGATTTTAAATGCCATTTCTTAATGTCTTTCATTTTTTAAAGCAATTTGAATTGCCTTGTATTGAAAAATGCTATATAAATAAACTTGCCTTGCTGCCAAGGAGATGTTGTTGTCGCAGATCTAGCCGTTGGTGCACCAAGAAACGGAATATTCTTAGTGGAGAAGAAAAAGAGAAAACCGATCATTTAGTCAATAATCATTAAATTAATATTGGGAGTGAATTCCTAATTTATTTAGTATCTGGTCCAACCTGATCTCACCAGAATGCGTGACTCCACCACGCAACCTTAACACCGCATTGCGTGGTGGAGTCACGCATTCTGTTACATTTACGTGTCGGCACCACGCAAAAAACCCCAATGTAAAGTGAATGAGGCTCTTTTGTCGTGGTGCACACACGCATTTCTACGACGTCCCGCAGTGAGCTTTTATTCTATAAAACGTTTTTAAAATCTACTTTATAGCTTGTAGTAACTCACGTGAGGCTTCTTTTATTTTATTTGTATTCATAATCATTTTTATTTTTCGTCAGAATGTATTATGGTGCATTATTTATCAATTTCTGTTCTCAAAAAACAGTGCATTGTGTGTAATACAACTGTGATTTTTATTAAATTACTTAGTTTTTAAGGAACGGCCAGAGCTTCAGCTGTGTCAAATAGATTGTTCCCTTTAGTTTACGTTATTTAAAAGACAATTATATTCCTATTTGATCAATAAAGGGGTATTGTAGGCCAATATTAGTCATTTAAAACATATACAATGATGATAATGATGGTGAAAACCACTCCCCCCACTGGCTACTGACTGTATTTGAAATGCTTTTTGTTTAATAGTAATAATAATCATTTTTATTATAACAACAATAAACCAGAAGAAGATTCCGTAGTTACCCCGGCAACGTTACGTCGCTTTACGTTAACGTGACGTAGCCACGTTACCCACAATCACCTCACTTTCATTAATTTCATCCGATTTAATCTGACAACGGACAACAGTAAGTATCTAAAATCAAGGGGAGTTTATTTCTTTAAAACACGAAATAATATTGCTTTTATTTATTCCACTGTAGCACAGTCTCTATAGCGTTTCATTCCTGGATATTAGTTTGAGTTTTGTAGTGTGTTTAGCTTTTACAATAGGCCAACTAGCGGCCACGTTCAGCTAGCCTCCGGCCTTCCGGTCAACGTTTTGAGCTGGATAGCATTTATAGTTTATACAGCTAAATTACATTAGCTGTCACCGGCACAGTTGGATAGTGGAGGTGCGTGCTAGAAAAATATGTTTACATTTATGTATTTGCACATGTGTTGTAAAGACAGTGTTCAACACAGTTTTAATAGTGGCTAATGCATCGGCTATGGAGTGGAACAAAAATGTGGAACTGGAGTTTTTCCAGAGGATTTGACTGGCCACCCAATGTCCCACTCTGAATCAGAAATACTTCATTGATCTCCGGGGGAAATTGGGATTGTTACATTGTAGAATTTAAATATATAGTAGAAGATATAAGAAAAACAAGTGCATAATATAACAATATGCACAGTATAAATGCATAATGTATGCCAGAGTATTGCTCAGATGAATTATTATTGCATATAGAGTAATGCACAGATTAAATATTATTGCATAGAGTATTACACAGATGTTACTGTTATTCGAAATAATCCTAATCATGTTTTTCTTTTTTTCTGTTTTACAGCTTCATTACAACACTTAATATCACCAACACACACATATCCACACACACACACACATATAAAACCAACGGCACTTTTAAGAGCCACTCTTTCTCTCACTGTCTCTCTTTCTATCACTCTCTCTTTTAATCACTCTCTCACTTTCTCTGTTAATCACTCTCCTGTCTTTCTCTCACTCTTCATTTTGTGTATTGTTTGTATTATTTGTATGCCATGTCCCTCAACCCTGAAGTGAGGGTCTTTGAGGATCTCAATGAGGCTACGGTGCACATGGCATCATTGATTAGCGAGGCTCATCTCCTTGAGGCCAGGGTGAGGCTTTTCATGATAAGCAAATACCCAAGTCTGTAATATAATCATTGCTATTGCTTTTTATTGATGTAATGTAAAGGGACAGTTAGTCCTTTTTATGCAACCGTTAAATAATTGCTCAAATATAAGTGCTGCTGTCTTATGTTGTATTACAACTTTGTTGTTGATCTCAACCTCTGAAAAAATATTGACTGCCATGGCCACGGAAACCCCTGCCATCCCTCCGAAAAAGAAAAGAAAAAGCAGGAAGAGACCTCTTTCTAATCCAGTGGTCACACGCAGACGTGAGAGACAATGGGAAACACAACGCCCCGCATCAGGTTAGTTCTTTACTATATCATGATTTCTAAGTCTAAGAATAAAGATAATTCATAACAAAGTTATTTTTGGTGTACACAGTATGAAATTATGTAATTTAAAGATACCTCTTGACAAATCTGTTGCAATGTTTAAAACATTTCCAAATGAAATCAAGATATTTTAAGAGCCTGTGATGATAATCCTTGCCTGTGTTGTATTTTTTTAAATGTGTACCTCGATTTGGATAAAAGTATGCCAAATGTAAATTGTCATTGTGATGCTGTGGTAATAAGTTCTTAGTTTCATTACCTACAGTCCTTACAGAGCATTTTCATATTACAATTAATTGGTGTAATTTTAGATTGATTGAAGGGTTAAGCAAAAATCACTGTCTCTGCAGCTTCACAAGCCAGAAGAGACGATCCTGTGCATGAGGAAGGCCTTCAGCTAGAACATCAAGACTTTGGTAGTCTTGGTGAGTATATTGATTATAACAGCAGTTGACTGGCACTACAGTTTTTCCCAATGTTTCCATTTTTATACTCATCTAGTTAATCATAATAAAGTATTGAGTATTGACTGTTTCATGACAAGTGAATGCATATTTGGTATAAGTATCACTTGCTAATATTGCTTTGGATGCATATGATGATTCATAGCATGTTGCTATTATTAGTCCGCATATATTTTTCCATCTCAAAAGTGGTTCAGTATACTACCTTAATATCCATCATACCAGTTTTAGGGTGGCGGCTTAACAGCTGTTTTATTTTTTAGAAACTCATCTCCAAGAGTTAAGGGACACCCTAACTGCAGTACAGGTTCCGGAGGCAACAGACGGAACGGTTTCTGCCTGGGCACAAAGGCAGCTTCTCACAGATGTGAGAATGAAAACGGCTAGGCCAATGCTTTTTAATGCAAAACTCTCAGCTGAGAGAATAGCCATTCAGAAGTGCCACAGATGCTGTGCAGAAGAAGCGGCTATTAGGTGCCTGGACTGTGTTCCACTGGACATGGAGTTCCTCTGTGCAACCTGTGACATGGAGGCCCACAAGAGGAATATCTTCCATGACAGAGAGGCTGTGTTCGATGGATTTCTGGAGCCCATTCCCCCTACAACTGCTGTGGTGGTGGATGAAAATGGCCAGCCTCAGTTTTGTGAACAAAGTATGTAAAGGTTAACATTACATTACAATGTCCCATTATAATGTAGTTCCCAAAATTAAGTGCGAATGGGAAGTGTACATAGCTGATTGAAAAAAGTATGATTGGTTTTGACTAGGGCTGCAAGATATGTGGAAGTTATGCAACATTTTATTGAATATCTTTATAATCTGGAGAATTAAGGAAAAACTGTAAATACACCCTTCCTAATTTATTTTCTATATTGCAGTATGTCAACTGCCTGTTCCTACTCCAAGGTCAATCTGTGAATGCTCTGATGACGTCACAGTTACTCCTTGGAAGCATATTTCTGTGGTCACCATCAACGGTATGTTGTTCTGAAAGCCCTTCTTTTTGTACAAGTAGTATTGTATGGCAGAGTTTTACCACTTTGTGCAATGCAAAGATTTATATCACCTGGTCATTTTCAGACAACACCCAAATGCCATGTCAAATAGCTAATATATCATATATGCACATCTATGTATAAAATCCAATATTTTAAGGCAAACTCACAGTTTAATTACCGAAATACCTTTACTTTTTCCATTTGTTCACAGGACGATACAATGTCTGCTTGCCTCGGAAATCCTGTCCATCCTGCTCTGCAGAATGGACTCCTGAGGTTAAAGACCTGCTTTTGTATCGGTACTGGCCAGCTAGCACCAGCTGCCAGACGCTTTACAAATATGATGTGTTCACCTCATTCGAGCACATGAAGGTGACAGCACCAGCCATGTCCAGGCAGGCATTTCTGAAAATGTTGGAGCACAGATCTGTTCAAGCTGGACGGGTAAATCTGCCTGAATCACATGGAAACATACAAAAAACAATATCATATTACTGTATACCATATCATAAATTGTTGGCATTGCTTTCAAAACAATTACTAATCCACTTTTTTTAAATCAATATACAGACAGGTATTATCTGTGCTGATACATTTCAGCGAAGCTTCTTCGAGTTTTGCTTCTGTCAGTACAAACAAGAGGATATGTGCCAGGTCCATCACTTTGTTTGTCCAGCATGTTCTCCAGACATGTTGGCTGTCTGCTGTGATGGAAACCGCAAGCATTACCGCTTTTCCAAGTCAAAAGGGTATGTATAGGTATTATTGAAAATGATAAAACCGCTAATACAAATAGTAGCCCTTGGGGTTGTGTTTGAGTAGCCATAACAGATATTAAAACAAATCATAGTAATGTAGTGCTTTGTGATTTTTATTATTGACTTGTATGTTAACTTATCATGGACAGGACTGAGGAGCCGCCAATCTATGAGGGCTTGTTCCTGGCCAAGGATGAGGAAGTCGCAACATTTGTTGACCTTGTCAGAGGCAACATGAAAAGTGTACGTTTTTTTTCTTATTATGATAGTTGCAGTTACACCTGTGGTGTTCTTTTTTATATATGTCAAAACTTGTGTGTAATAAACTGACTTTATAGGGAAATGACAGTGCCGTCTGTGGTACTGCCAAATTCACCGCTGGCAGAGAGATGTCAAAAAAGTCTGGTGCCCAGATAGACGAGGAGGGCATTCAAGTGGCAGTTTGCAGGTATGTATTTGTAAGTGTGTCTGTGTGTGTATATGTGTTTGGTTCTTGAGTCTGGTCTCATTATTTCAGTTTTAATAGCAATCCAAGTCTAAGTCTTTGTAAGAATTGGAAGCATTAAACACTTTTGATTGTGGAGCGGAATTGATCCATCCTTTGTAGCATCCAAGTGATATTTGTTGTTATAGCCACCTAGATGACAGAGATGAGTGCTTAAGCCAGGCCTTGCTGTGTCAGTTTATTATTAACAACTAGATTTTCTTCTGATTAATCAGACATGGGTTTCTCTTACGAGGACTGAACCACTTCCGTGGAGAAATATACGCGTACGCAATGTTTCTCCAAAAAGAGATGTCCAAGAAGGCAAATGTTGACTTCTTCTGTATGGATGTAACATGCAGGTAATCCTCACTGTCATATTGCACATCCACAACAATGTTTAAAATGGCCTATGCCTCAGCAGTCATTTTAGATGATATTGATATTGTTGTCATGTCAATTAAAAGTTTATCTTTGTAACACTCAATCACAAAATGCTGCTCCTGCTTCTTAGGTACTGGCCATACCTTAATAAAATAGCCGAGGGATTACCAGAGCTTCTGCCGTTGACAGAAATGAGGCCATTTCTTAGCGTGACGCATGCTAAAGCCCATACAGCAAAATGCGAGGTACATAACATCTTTAATGCAAAGGATTTTTAATGTTGTGCATGGCATGCCTTATTGGATATCAAAAACTTTGCTATATAACACTATTTGCGCTGTGTTGCAGGTGAGATGGGCTGGCAGAAGTCAGGACGGGGCAGGAAACACAGTGGGAGAGGAAGTAGAGCAGGTATGTTATTAATGGCATTATTATAACTGTATGGATACAAGAGGACTTAATAGAAAGCAGTACAAATATGTATGTGTCATCTCAGTGACAAGCCTGTTGATTAGTTTAAAGCATATCCTTTATGTCTGAGTTCAAATGAAAGATAGGCAGCTCATATGTTCAGCAACAATAAATGCATGCACATTGTAGGAAGTCAGTACACAAGTTTTCTCTTAAACCATCCAGTTCAAGATCTATGATGTGTAGGTAATATTGTTATGTAATGGTGACCGAACATTAATTGTAACATTCATTATAGGTGAACAGCTTTCTCTCCAGGGCAGCTCTGGTCACAAAATACATGACAAAATCAGGTTGGTATTAACACTACACACTGTGATAAGGCAGCCCTGATAAGTATTTTACAGAAAGTTCCCTCCGTAAAAACATTATTGGTGTATTACCAGTTCAACAACCTTTTAACGATTGGGTTTAGTCATGTCTATCAGGTTTCTCACTCAGTATTGCCTTTTTGATGTGAATACTTACTTTTTTGTTTGTGGATATATTGTTGTGTTTTTTAGGAAGAGTGAACATGCTTACTCAACAGGCCATGGGATGGAACAGAAGGAAGAGGGACAACCTTCATCAAGTTTTAGCACACAGATATGTCAAAGTAAGGGCAAATTACAATTGTCTTCTCATCTGACATTACATATGAAGGATGTCTGCAATGTAACCTCATGGCTATATACATTATGTTCTCCCTTATCCACACTTCCTCTTGCAAGTCAGATGGTGTCATGGAATGTTTCAACTGTTCTTCTGAAGGTCTTGTACTGAAAACTGGTGTTCTTTGCATTATGGTGTTGCATGGCGCTTTTGCTCTGACATTTTCTTTTTTTTGTAAAGATCACAGAGAGGGCAAAGGTGGAAGCTGCCAGCTTCAGCGACTTGAAAAAGGAGCACAACCTTGATCAGGAGACCATACAGCAGTGGGTGTATGTTGTCAGGCAATGGGCGGTCACAGGTAAGACATACCACAGGTTTTCCATATACATCTGTTAATTACTGTAAGTTTAGACATACAATATAAGTTGGCTATATGTTGAAACTGAGACTGTCACTGATTGTATCTCTTCTCCAATTGTTTTATTGCAACTATTTAGAGAGAGTTTACGCCCCAGGGTGTACTGAAGGACTAAGGGTGGATATTGAGAACATCACCGTCACTCTTTTGCGCAGGAAGCAAGATCTGTATCGTCAGCATGGTTTGTTGTCAAACGTAGTTATTGAAATTACACTTCAAAAACAGCAAAAACATTCTGGCACCATGACACAGTTTTGTTTCCGTTTCACTTTGCAGACAGCAACCAGGCAAGGCAAAGAAAGAGGAAGAGAATGAGAGAGCTGAAAAAGAAGCTTCGCGAAAAAGTTGTACAATACAACACCGGAGTGCAGGAAGAACAGATTGACGAGGAGTTGGCTTGCAGTCTGACAGAGGGCTACATCCTACCATGGGAGAGGCATGCAAATGGTAGGGTAATTGCTAGTTTGGCTTGTTGTTTTTTTAGTCCATACCAAAATATTACAGTTTATCATGGGGCAGAAAAAGCAATGGTGATACCTGCAAATATATAATATTTGTTATTAGTTTATATTATAGAGAACCAATGCTATCGCTACAAAGATTTGTGTCTCAGAAATGAAAATCATTCTGTAATAATATAATTTATGAATAAATATTCCTTGTCTACTACTCCATTCCTTTCCTCAACCTAAAGGCAACACCTTCAGGTTGAAGAGGTCTGTCTTTGAGCAGGTAATGCTGGTCAGACGTTTGGAGGGAGGAGCAGAGCATCCTGGTGAAAGAGATGTCGCAGCACATCATGTTCCTTCTGAAGGAAGTGGAAGCACTGAGAGGACAGACTTTGGAGGGCATCAAAACCAGCAGTATGTCTGAGATCTTAACATTTGAATATTTTCATCCACTCTTCAACACATTGCATGTCTTACATAAGTAGAACACATCTGTCACTGTGTCAGGCCGAAGTGAAATAGTAAATTACTGAAACTATTCATCATCAAGATCATAATCGATTATTTTCTGTCTATTGACTAATTGTCAAGCACTATATCAAACATTAATCAACATATCCCATTTGGCACCCAATATATACTAACATCCTTCAGTTTAAGATGAATTTACCTACTTTGTAGTGTTTTTACATATGCAGCATTGTACAATGCAAAGAGATTTGCAATTGTCATGGTTTGTTTACATTGAGCCCTTTTTCTATGTGGTTATTCCTATATATACAGATTTCGGTGACCTGACAGAGGATGCTGCACATGGGCTCAAGAGTGTCCTCAGTCAGAGGTGGCACTTCCTCAAAAGCCAACACAAACAGGCTGTACATGCGTACAGCGGTGTAGCCGCTTTGGAATGCCATGATCTTCAATTACAGCAGGCCATTGAGGAGTCGGATGACAATGACTACACTAGCCCTGAGTCTGAGGAAGAAGACCTGTAAAGGTTTCTGCCAAGCAACACAGAGGCACTGGAGAGCTCTTTCACAAGGGAAGTGTCACGTCCACACGCTGGCGCACGCCATAATAAAGGCCTACAAAATAAAGACATTTTAAAACACTATATATGAGAACAATATGAAACTATGCACTTGTTTCGCCCGACTGAGTTCATAATAATGTGAAAATGTGTTTATATTTTGTACTTCCGTTTATTTAAAGCGCTTTGACTTGCTGATGTGTATGAAAATAAATTGCCTTGCCTTTATATTAAACTGCCTCTTATTACTCAAACAAGTGCTATACAATGGTTGTTTTCTTGTCACTGCATTTTGTCATTCGTTGATTATGAACTATTTACAATGTGAATACATTGTAAATACATACAATACAATAACATAATTCTTTATTAGTAACGTGCATAATGCAGGGTAAATACCAACACATTCTCACTCCCAACTCGTACTTCTAATTTTGTATTATTTTCTAAACCACACACTGTTATTTACTCAACAATAACACACAATTATTCTTGTGTTTATTTGTTTGATTGTATAATGTCGGACTTTTGGAGTCCATCAGGACCGAGGGTCGGAGCAGCTCATAGTAGTTGCTTTAGAGAATTTTACACCCGGAAGTAAGTATTCTCTCTTCTTTGCTTGACAAACCCCGTGATAGTCCTCAAGCTCTGTGATTGGATATTGGAGTGGCAGTGCGCAGAGCGTCCAACAGCACTTTGAAATGGAATGGAACCACGACAGACTGTCCAAAACTGGAGTCGGACGGGTCCACCCCCACCCCCACCCCGTCACCAGAACTACACGTGCTGGCTATTGTGTGTTTCGCACATAGGTTTCGCATGTTCTATGGCACGTCTCTACTGGGAATTGTAGTTTTAAAAGACGTTTTCGTATTTCCCATAATAAGAAGTTGTCAGTATTAAACTGTGTACATCCCTGGAGGTTTAGGGGATACGAAACACATGTGTTTCACATTTAAAACATATAATTAATAAATGGGTGAAAATTGCTTGTGTCCATAATGGGCAGCATTACCCACATGACAGCTAAGGTCAGAAGATCTTTATTTAACAGCTGGTCTTATGTTTGTGACCCCTCCTGTTGTTAATTGATGAGCCTGAAACATGCTATTGTCAAGGTTCAGAGGCACATTTTGCAAATATGGCAGAAGCCATCGATCATCTTAAGATAAGATATACTTTATTGATCACAAGCGGGGCCATTTTTTCGTTACAGCAGCATGTGTAACAGTTGGAAATATGCAGTGGTGTTTATTTAAAAATCATTTAGTATAATCACACAAATTCTATGTTTTATATTTAATAATTCTCTGTTCCTCATTTATTGGATGTTCAATACCTGACAAGGTCGGAGATTAAAAAGGTCAGAGATTAAAAACTTTGGTCGCAGGTTCCTCAACAGTGCATTACAAGACATCTATCGATATGTGTGTATACCTCCACCATTAAACTGTCATATTCTGCACATTTCTTATACTATCTAGATACATCTTATAAGAGTATACTACATATGTATAATATCAGTTAAAATAAGTGCTTCAACTTAGTTAACATTGCAGGAAAGTTGATTGTCAAGTTCCAAAACAAACTATGCAATATATTAAACGTTAAGCACTTTGTCAGACTTAATATTGGTCTGTAGATACCCCCAAAGCTTTTTTCTTATTTAAAAGAAGACCTTAACTTAAAGTAATCTTTAATGTTAAAAAGAAGCCTATTTAGTTTGTCTGTTTTGCACATCCTCCTATTAATATCTTTGGACGTCCGGCACTAAACTGTTTTATTGTAGAGATCACAACAGTATCTTCTTGATATTTTCATCTATATTTATATGATTGACCTTCTACTTTCCCCCTATGTATGTACTCTTAATATTTGTATGTTTCATGAAATATAATATAATTCAACAAACAAATTCAATAACGTGCTTTAACCACTAGGCGGTACGGGTTAAAAAAAACTGTCAACTTTAAAGTGTTAACAAGACAAATTATACTGCTGTTTCCAGTTTAGTTTATGATGGATGTATTTTGTTATCGACACATATATTGTTTTGATATTTGTGACACAAATCTTCGGAAAAAGTGTGTTTGGTATCTGAAATAAATTAGGGTTATGCAGGTAGCGGAGAGTGGTCCGGCTCCGTTTCCACGGCAACGGTGGCTGAGGATCATGGGTAATCTAGCCTTGTCCAAAAAGACCACAAAAAAACGAGTAAAAAACCTTTGAAGCCCCTGTACTGATATTTAGAAGTTATCTACTGGCACTTCAGCATATTAACTGGAGAAAGAATAATAACACTAAATTCCTCCCATCAAGAGCTCCCCATCAAACACCGCATTGACTGTATAAGTAAGTGTGGACTTAACGCCAGAGTAGCTAACGTGAACCTGGTGTCTCTGTGGTGTAATCAAATATTGACACAGCTTTAATTAAATAAACTACCTAGTTTCAATGTATCGTTTAGTGTGGACTTTGCACATTTAAAATAACTTGTGTATAGCTGGTGCTACAGACAGCAGAACTTTTTGCATTTTTCTTTAACAAATGCCACCTAAGATAATGGCATGCCAACAATTACCACAAATGTACACATAGATGTAATTGTACAAAAGCCAATTAACATACCAAATGGTGCAGGGCTCCCAGTCATAAAGGTGCTCCGTCCCCCCTGTGGTAGGCAGACAAAGACATTGTACATCTGTATGTTATTTGAACGTTGTACTTTCACAAGTACTTATAATATATGTATTGTTCAAATAGTTTGCATATATTTAAAAAAATAGTCATGAAAAAAGACATCTGACCGACTAGAGGGATTTACAGGATGTTTACACAAATAGCTTCATATTGTGAATTGGACAACAGCATTCCTTCAAGGTAAGATAAAGTCATTGCTATACAAATTCAGAAAAGTTATCCAACAGCAAACACTGTCATCCAGGTAATCATTATCCTACCTTTCGGTTCCTTGTCTTTATTATGGTGCGGACAGGGAACACCTCCAGATGGTTGTGAGAGCAATCTGTAATTGTATGGAATACATTATTTGCACAAATGTGCAGAACAGGTAAAGTACGTTTTGTATTGGGCTCATCTCAGAATGCACAAACATTTCCACTGTGTGACAGAAGCACATTTAGTGTTTCCTCCTGAGCAATCACAGAAGTTTAAGAGTCTACACATGCTTTCATTCTAAATCTTAGCTTCTCTGCCGTTCCTTCGGGATGTTGCTGTGTCTGCTAATGGACTGATTACATCTTACATTGCTTGCTACTGAGTGGATATGTTTTAGTCTTATATTCATTACACTAGTACTTGGGCTCTGTAGCACTATATTACATTAATATACATTACTTTTCCTGGTTTGGTGGTGGATCTGCTGTTTCCTGTGGTTGCTGGTTATGGGTGATGGGTGATGGATCACATGGCACCAAATTTAAGATGTAGCTTCCATCGGGCAGTTGGTTGGGTGGGTCTTGGGGTGGTGTTGGTGTGTCAGGGTGCTCCTCTTGGTCTGGGTTGAGTCGTGTCCAACCTACAAAGAGTTTGTTGTACAAATCTGTTTAAAAGCCCACATATTTATTTATTTATTATGTATAATACCATAAATGTTGCATTGGTTACTTATCTGTTCATATATAATATATTTAAATACATATCCACATCTGTTTATACAACCTTTTCATTCATGCCTCCCCATATTAGTATTTCATTTTACTTTCTGTTTTATCTTATTCTATTTTATATGTATATATTTGACTTATTCCTGCATGTAAGTTTTGCACCTACGTTGTTGGACTAGTTTCTTCTTGCACTATTTTATTTCTTCTTGTACTATTTGTATGCTGCATTGTTGGAGGAGCCTGGGAGTTAAGATTGGCATTGCCAACAACTACGCTGTAGCTGTGCATATGACAATAACACCTTTGAACATTGAATGTTCGAAAACAGGAACATGGAATACACACACATACATTATCAATGTGAAAAGCATGCAAACAAAGGCAACCCTAACCTAAACTGTAAAAAAAAAAGATTGGTTGAGTATGATGTCACCCACAGGTATCTGCTTGGCATCAGGGCAGAGGAGCCAGAGAAGCTGAGGGTTGTCCACAGAGCCACTGCTCAGCGCAATTTATTTGAAGAAGATACCATTTTTTCTGACTATGTGACTGTGACTCTGATTGTGGTGGAGGAGGTCCCAGAACACTTGTCCCCTCTTAATTCTTACATTCAGGGCGTCCTAGCAGTGCCAGTGGTCCACCATGCAGCATTACGAGTATCATACAGTAATTACATGTTTACAGCAATCAATGATCGCAAAAGTCAATGGTATCCCCCACACTGGGTTATCATTGGAAAATGGAAGTTTGATAAGTGAACAAAATGTATTTATTTAATTTTTGGCCAGCAATATAATTAGGACTCATATGTGAGATTGTGCAAGAGCTGTCACTGGCTTTACTTCTAGACTTTGCTATCCAAATGTGTAGGTGGGAAAGATGTGCTGGGTGAGGTCACTTGAGAAGACGTGTGTGAGGGCCGCAGTGTCTTCAGCGCGCTCTTTGTGCACCACAGAACGCTTTGGAGACACAGTCTGGTACTTGCATCTGTTCTGCTATTGTTTACTGCTATTTCATATTATCTTGGATTGTTGTCATCAGCTGTGGTGCGCTCCACAACTGACCATGAGTGTCAGTACTATACTGTTTCAACCATCTCCTCTGCGCTCCGATGGGGAATGTGATGGCGAGACAGTGCTGATGAAATACAAAGTGGATTTGATTTGAGATTTGAGTTGGCTTACTTCTTTTACAATTGAAAGATGCTTATGGAATTAGTTATGGCTCACAAGCATATGTACAAATAACACTGATGGTTTGAATGTAGGATCTTTAAGAAACGTGTGATAGTAACTGAAATTAAATATGAGAGAGGCTTTATTATATGTATAATGATGCT